AAAACTAAAAAAAAAAAAAAAAAGTAAGACCTTTTTTGCAAACTGGGACAACAGTAACATAAGTAGATTCTTCTTGAGCCAGGTCTTTTTTAAATCCCAAATCCCAGAATTCTTCTAGCTAAAGAGAAATGCAACTCCAATTCTACTGCAAAAATCCAGAGACTGCTCACTAGCACTGCAAAGACACATATCTGTACCCAGAGTCTTTTGGAGCCTACAATTTTTTACCTCAAGCTCCCAAACTGGACTGTCAAATTAGACAACACACGTTGCTAATCTCACTCAAACAGAAAAATCCAGACTCCAACACTTCCTAGCGCAAGAACAATGCAAAAAACATATACCTGGCACTTACGTCTCGCCCGATCCAGCAAATTTTTATTCACAAACCTCTAAATTCTACTGTTTAGAACCTAGCTGCTCCTAGGACATCACAGAAGTCTGGCCCCCTGACACCACGAGCACTTGAAACAATCCAAATATGGCTCTGGATCCAGCAAGGTCTAGCCCAGTTTTTCCATCTCCAAAGTTTTACCTTTTAGCTACACCCAAAGTGGAGTTTTCCTTTTCTACACTAGTTTTCTATTTAACTTGTACAATTGTAAGGGTGGTGAGGGGGGTAGCAGAGTTACAGGGAGCAGCACAGAGTAGAAAGAAGTGGAGGCTATGCAGAGGGGTCCTAGCTGTGTTGGGGCCTCACCTCCTGGATGCGTTTGCGGGCCCGCTGCAGCACCTCTTCGTAGCCCTTCTGCCGCAGTTCGCTCAGGCTCTCGTAGTACTCTTCGGGGTCGTCGGTCTCGGTGAAGAGCACCTGGGAGAGGATCTTCCATCCGCAGGTGTCCAAGCTATGGCCCAGATAAACCTGTAACTGGTAACACAGCGCGTCCATCTCCTGCTCGGACAGCTGCGGGGCCCCGAACAACACCGTCCACATGCCCGAGGGCTCCTCAGGGAAGACGGGCAGGCAGGGCTCTAGCTCCGAGTTCACCGAGCACAGCTGCTGATGCACGGCCCGCAAGTCCTGGAAGGAGAAGAGGCCGGCCCAGCTGCACTCCTCCCCCGAGGAGTCCGCGTCTGCGGCCGGCTCGGCACCTTGCTGGACGGGTCCCGGCAGCAAGAGCAGCGGGGTCGCGGGTTCATCCTTCACCAACTCCAGCACCTCGATCTCCTCGGCCGCACCTGCTGGGCTCGGCACCGCCGCCTCCGTGCTACGCGGAGGCCTCCGGACCGGACTGGCCTTCGTCCGCAGCGGGCTCTTCAGTATCGCCTCTGCCCCGGCCGCGGCGCCCTTCTCGGTGCTCCGGAGCAGCGAGTCCGCGCGGGGATGCGAGGAGCTCCTGGCCGGGCTGGAGTCCGCCCCGCAGGCCGGGGTCCGGCGGGCCGCGGGGGCGCCAGCCTGGGCAAGGGCCCTGTGCTCCTGCCCCCCGGGGCTGCCCCGGCGCAACTCCCGCGACCCGCTGCGCTGCCGCTGAGCCGTCCGGTTGTGGCAGGTGATGGCGAACTTGCCCTCGATCTCGTTCCAGGCCACGATGAACGCGAACTTGTGCTTCTCTCGCTCGAGGAAGGCGTGGGGCCTCACCGCCACCCAGTCCGCCTCCAGCGTCTCCTCCAGCGCGAAGGCGGACATAGTGCCCCGCTACGCGCCCGCGCTAGGCATCCGCATCCGCCGCCGGCTCACTGCCCGCCTTCAGCCATCTTGGGGGAGAAGGATGCGCCGGGGGGAAACGGCCGCTCGCGAGCTCGGCCTCCTGGTGCCGCTCGTCGCCCAGCGCGCGCGACGCGGGCTGCGCCGGCCCCGCCTCCCGCCGCGGTATCGTCCTGCACCGGGCGGGCGGGCGCCGCCGCGGACAATACAGCTCCCCGTACAGGTACTTCGCACAATCACGTGGGCCAGAAGCAGGCTCTGTTTACAAGCGACGCGGCCGCTGCGGCATCTCACCCCGCCCTAGGGTCCTGTCCCGCCCCCAAGCCACTTGCTGTCCCCGCCCCTCCTCCGGCTCCTGTGAACGGCGGGGGGCGCGGGCGGGCGGCGCTACTCCCCTGCCCCACGCCGCCAGACAGAGCTCCCCCCTCCTCCACGGGGATGCTCCTCCTGTTCCCCTTCCTCACGCTGTCACCGGTCCGTAGCCTACGTCAGGCTCAGCTGAGGGGCGCGAGGAGCCGCACGTGCGGCGTTCAGAATCCCTACGGCCCAACGGCCAAGGCGAGAGGGAGCCGGGGTCGGCTTGTCCGTGGCGCAGGCGCAGTTGGAGGGAAACAAAAGCAACAGTTGGGGAGAGAAGAGCCTGTGCCGGCTGAGGCTTGAGTGACACGTTACCCTCCTAATCGCCTCTGTCGGGGGGGATTTAACTGGAGTCTCGCCTTCCCTGCAGCGAGGGGTAATTCGAAGTCAATCCCCCCCCCGACTCCACAGCTGCTGGCTCTGGCGGATGGAATGTCCAGGCGAAAGTGCCATGGGGCGCTGCCGCCTCTGGGATAATGGGGGGTAAGGGAGGAGGGGTCAATTCCTCCATCTCTGTCAGTTCCGGGGCAACTGGGCTTTCACGCTTCCTTTTGTCTTTGAAAACCCATTGTCTCTCTGGGTCCCATGATTTAGTTTCTCTTCCGTTTCTTGGCATATCATCCTGTTTTTCCTTGCCGCAAATCTGTAATCCCAAAACAACGTCAAGGGATTCTCTCCTCATTAGCTGCTACTCCGTGTAGGAGTCAAAGGGACAGCAACTAATCACTTCACTTTCTCCTCCACTGTCCTCTCTTCTCACACAGACTTTCGTTTCCAAAATTGCTTCCCTTGTTTTTTCAAAAAGGACACACCTAAAATGTATTTTTCTATTTCAGTCACCCAGCCCAGGAAAGGACTTAATTGGCATTGAAGGACATTTAAATCCCATGCTGTAATAATGAAGCCACATTCACTAAGGGCGGGTGCGGTTGGTTTGGGATTTTTGGTACTCTTCACATTCCCCAAATACAGTCTTTCCTGGAGAAATGGGAAAGGATTTGGTGTTTTATGTAGGTTATTTTATTTCCTTATATTGAGTTACTCATTGTGATACCTGGGCAACTACTGCACAAGTTAAAAACAAGCCTCTGTTACCAGTGACTGAGATAAATAAAGTCCATGTCTGTTGCTGGTATTCCCTCCCTTCCTCCTGACTAGAAACTGAATACATGCATCCTGCATGACATCGTAAAACCATCAAACTGAGGTGCTGGAATACCTCAAAAGGGTAATTTCCAGAGTCAAGGGACCTCCAGCAAGAATGCTCACCCCCGTCCTGCCTTTAGGAGTTCATGTCCATGGATAGGTAGCAAAAGCACTCTGGCAGATAGCAGCCTCTATGATGGGACTTGGGGACAGAAGCAGTCGCTGAAATAGCCAAGTCTTGGGTGGTTTTATAGATGATATCTTGATGTAAACTGAGAGCTCCAAGGCACAGCAATTACATGCTCACGTTTGCCTGCCCTACTTAAAGGCGGACAACTTTATTCTGCATTGGTTGACGCTTCAAGTAATTCCAAATGCAGAACATACTATATCTAAACTGGACAATTGCACTGTAAGAACCGCATCAAAAAAGGGATAACTAGTCACCTGTAATTCTGCTTCTCTTTTGATATAATTTGACTGGATTCCTGCTTTTGAGTCTCAGTTTCTTAGTATGAGACTGGGTGAAATCTCTAGCTTTCAAAGATTTTTGGCACTGAGAATTCACCCTTAGTCTGAGACCTACTGCCAGTGTCATGGTGCCCTTTAGAATGTCCCCTTTCACTTCCTGGATGAGTGGGAAACAGAATTTGCCTCAAATTTAAATGTAACAACAATAATAGAGCCCCCAAGGACAAGACCATTAGAGAAAAAACAGTAATTGAAAAATGTTCCCCCCCATTTCAGATCTGAGGGGAGGTGGTACATGAGTAAGAATCACTCCTCAAACAAGATTGTCAGAGAAGCAGAATAAGTAATTAAATGATCCCTTCTCTAATGACAGGAGTCCTAGAAGTCTCTTAAAAAATCCTATTTTTGGAAACAGTTTGAGGATAGCCTCTGCAAACCTGAACATTCTCCAAACATGGAAGACCAAAGACACTGTACAAAGCAATCTCATGTACCCTGGAAAATTATGGTGACTTCTTGAATGCCAAAACTTGGAGTTGGTGGGAAAAGTGAGGGAAGTGTTGACTCAATAGCAAACAGCCAGAGACAGGACCATATATATGATCCTTAGGCTGAGGATGATATACGTTTTGTACTTGTAGCGGGATGGTCACCACACTCATGCCCTGAAGGGCTTAAAACAGCCCTGGGAGAGGGCTGGGAAGGGGGGGAAAGCTAGGCTGATTGGGGGAAGCAGCCACAGGTGGGGCCACGCCCCAATCAGGCCATGGCTGACCCTATAAGAGGGCTGAGGGCCAAAGAGTAGAAGAGACTCTCTCTAGCTTATGAGAGAGAAGGACCTGGCTGCCTGGGAGCTGAGAAGGGTACCTGAGGTGGAGCAGTACTGGGGAAGGTCAGAGGAAGCTTGGGAGCTCTAGCCTGGTAAAACCCCAGGCTGCAGGCCTTGCTAAAAGGCCAAAAATGGTACTGGAGCTGCAGAGGGGCAGCCCAGAGATAGGTGAAGGCAGCAGGTCCTAACCCCCTTGCTGATAATGAGTGGTTTACAGACTGTAGTCTGCCCCAGTGAGCGGGGACTAGATGATGACTGGCAGTAGCCACTGAGGCAAGGTGGGGATAGAGGGTTGGGAGTTCTCCTGGGTGGGGAGACCCAGATTGTGGGTTACTGCTGGGGCAGAAACCTGATGTAGAGGGACACCGGGGTCCGGGAGGGACATGGGGGCCAGCGGCAGGTGAGACGCTGGCCTGCAGAAGGTGCTCTGGGCTGGAAGAGTTAATTCCCAGGATGACCAGCAGGAGACGCTGCGCTGGTGAGGCATCGCCCCATGACAGTACTCCAAAGTAGGTATGCAGAAGGAAATGCATTCCTTTGCATTCAAGCATTGGACCAGACACATGCCGAGTGGTGTGGAAAACATGACTATACCAGACATAAAAGCTAGGAGGGAAGAAAATCATCTCAGAGAAAAACTGGTTCGAAAAAGGGAGATACTCCAATGAAAGGTAACTTCTATCTATCATGTAGGTTAAATGCCAACGCAGTTCAACAAATATAAATCAAACATAGCTTCCAATGTGAAAATGGTTTTCACTTTTGTGTCCAGAGAGGAAAGCTATAGACTGTTTCTGTCAGGTATTCAGAAAGAAACTCTTCAGGAGATGAGTGTAAATATCAATCTGATTTTGTCTTTAATAATGCACAAATGAAAAAATATCAATGTGTAATACATACCAGTAAATATATCCAGTCTTTCTACTAATATTAGTACTTTTGAAACGCTAAAACTGTGGAATCAGTATCTCAGGTCTTTGTGATCCCTGATGGACATAGTGCCGAGGACTTGCTCAGAGAGGGATGTATTACCCTAAAAAGGAAACTCAAGGTTGACCCAACAGTAGGGAATTCAGTCAAAATGATATCTTTAGAACAGGAATGGTTTCACTCCTTGACAACAGATAGGCTGCTGGTGTCCTGACACCACAGCTTGCCATGCTGACCAATACTGTCTTATTTTTTCCTTGTATACCCCAATCAGTCTGGCTGTTTCCATCTTTTGTTTTTTGTTTTATACTTAGATTGTAAGCTTTTTGCAGCAGGGACTGTCTGTTCTGTGTTAGTAAGCATGTAGCACAGTGGGGTCCTGGTCCATCACTGGTGCTGTGATAATACAAATAACACTGGTCTACAATTTTTGAGAAGT